TACTCTCCTCCTCTCTCTCTCTCTCTCTCTCTCTCTCTCTGTTGTTCCAAATAAAATTTCAAAATGTTATACACCTATTGTCGCCGGAATATTCATTGTCAGAAGACGTATTGGTGAACGGCACGCTCGGCAATCGACTTAACAATCACTTATATTACTCTTTGGTTAAAAACATCTATCGATATACATCCCCGCTCGCATGTAGTTGTACGTATTGTGTTTGTATACATGCGTGTTGGTGTGTCTGTGTGTATGTGTAAGTTGTGCGTATGTTGTATGTATATGTGTATTGTATATATCGCAAGAAAGCGTCTCACGGCTATGGTAATTAATTTTAATACAAACTTTAAAAGGCCAGCTCTCGACATAGTTGTGTATTAAAATTAATTGTACCCTTATTCTTAATGCTCCCCTCCGACTCCACCCGTTCTGCTGCTCGGTACTCCCCCGCCGACCGTATAATATGGGAAAAAGAAGCGGATCACTCCCTCGCTCTTTTCGCCGAATTCATACAGACGGCGAGTAATACTCTACGTGTTTGCTCCTAGCATCTCCTTTATAGACACGCGGCTACTTCTGAATTCTCGTTTTCCATTTTTACGAACAATTCAATTACGAACTTGTCTACGTCTACGAAGCGAACATGACAAAATCTTACGATTAAAGACAGGTATCCTTTTTCTATTACCGATAAGTAGGTGACTACCGAATAACCGTCGAAGAACTAAAAGGATGAACGTGCCTAACTGCAACTGAGTATCCTTTCCGTTTAATTGTTTTCCCGATTTCATTTGACTATTCCTTCCCGATATATAGCGTGCATTTCGAGTAACGTGCGCTAAATCAATCTCGATCCGCAATCGACGTCGCGGACGTGGTTTTGAACATCGACTGATGCGAAAACGACCATTTCGATCATTCGCGAAAAATTAGTTCACGAAAATGCAACGCGTTATTGAGCTTACGACGCGACATTACATTGTAACGCAAAAATTAGAAACAAACTGATAAACTTCCGTCGTACGCAAATATAAGTCTCAAACGTGGCTCAAATCTTCAAACGTGTACCGATAATTTCCGCGCGACGTTCAAAATGTCCAAGAAGAAGACAGAGATCTGCTCGGAAGTATCGCTAATACGCAATCAGAATCCATAATATATCGTACACTGTTGATATGTTGTTGAGGATTCTGCATGTCCTGGAAGAGAGGTTTCCTCCAGCCTTCGACGGCGATATAACGTTGTATTCATTGAAAAAGATGGCAACTGGTACACCGGTGAACGATCATCGTGCACCAATCGTCATCATCTTCGAAGAGTGCGTGTGTGTAAAATGAAAAAAAAGAAAAATATTTTGTCACCCACTCGACATAGCAAACATGCAGTTGCCGCTTTCATTTGCGCAGGTACTTTGTGAAGAGAGATTCACCCCTCCGGCTTGATAGAATTCAATGAGACGAAACGCGGAGACGAAACTGAAACGATGACGACGACGACGGTAACGACGACAAAACGTCCTCATCTCGGCACTCGCGCCGCTTGTCTCGGTCCAGCCGAAACGCAGCGATCCCGTAGCGTCTTCGCATCTCGCGAACAATAGTTCCGTCGTCGTCGGAACGTTATCTCTATTGCCGCTCGATCGAGACGGTTCCCGTCATCTCAATCGTCCTCCCTCGTGGTCCAGCCGACATGGTATAGATCGATACAAAAGGACCGGCGACTAGGCGCGGCTAGGTGCGAGTGTCACTGACGCACTCGCCACCAACTCTGTTGTACCTTCTCATGGAGCTTCCTACAAATACCGGCGAGCCTCCGTCACATCCCAGCCTCCGTGGCGTTCTCCTCCGTCTCACCGCCCGGGTCCTCGCTGGAGAACTCGCCGCCACCGCCGCCGTTGCCGCCGCCAGAATCGCCACCCTCTACCGCCTCGCCGGTTTCATCGCCCTCCTCCAATGTCACTTGGAAATGTATCCTATCTTGCTGTTGCTGATTCTCGTTTGCCGCTGATTGTTGCTGGTCATCGGACGGCGGTGACGGTGGTATCATCGACTGATACCAGCTGCGATTCTCCTCGAGGGTATCCAGAATTTCTTGTGCGTCCGGATGTACCAGATCTGCCCAAGTCTCCCAGAGCGGATGCACGATAAAGTCGATGAAGCCGACCTGCGTCTTCTCGACGGTGGCGTTGTGCCGATCGCACATCGGACTGATGTCCATATTTTGTTCCCGCTCGCGATCGCCTTGCAGGAAGAACTCCTCCATCAGCAAGCCTACCCATCGTCGGTAAAGAGGCAACGGTTTCGTCGGGTTGGACAGATCGGCGCAGTGCACCAGGTTTTCCAGTACCTGGATGCGATCGGTGTAATTGTCGAGCAACAGCACACCGGAACCGGCGACCTTCTTCGTCTCCACCATGGTCTTCAGATCAGCCAGTAGCGACATGTGCTTCGACATGTCCGTCGAAAGGACCATGTCGATCACCATCTTTCGCAGCGTCTGGCGCTGCTTCTTCGTCATATTCACGAATATGTCGCAGCCCTCGTTTTGCAGAAGCTTGAACGCGACTGCCAAGTGATGATTCTCTAACACCGACTCGTCATTGTACATCAGCGCGAGCTCGGAGCCTGAAAAGAAGAAAAGAACTCCTTTAATTTCCTAATCATTGGGAAATAGAAATATAAGACATATCCTTTCTTTTTATTAAATGCAACATATTATTTAAAACGTGAATATTTAGAGCAGCGTCGAGTAACAAATTCTATTTCGTAAAATATAAATTTTCAATGATGCCGTCGATACTTACTTGAATTAATGAGGAACTGATTGGTAAGTCCGGGATGATCTACATCATGGATGGAAGCCGCGAATAATGCAGCGGTGATCTCCAACGGTGTGAACACGGACTGTAACAAAATTGATAAAGAATGTAACATTTACGATGATTATCGGAGAAAATATCTTTCCTCGTTTTCCGACATTTTAATTTTTCCTTTCAATATAAGCATCTTATATTCGTCAACGGGATATTTGTAAAGAGCTTATCGTCCCTGTGTGATTTAGCTCTAACGCGCGAAAAAACAAAAAAATGACATTGTATAAGGAAGATATGTACACATCGCTTGTATATACAAACCTCGAGTGCGGGCGTGTTGAGCAGTGTGTGAGTAGATTGGGTCACATCGGCTGCGTGGAGGCTATTGTGGAAGGGATTATCCTTCACATAATGATCCTCTAGGGTCATCATGAAGGTAACAAAGGTCTTGGGCGGTATCGCCAGCGATTTGAGCAGATCTCGACTCTGGAAGGCCGTGTACGCCACGCAGGTGAGGGGCCGATTGTTACTAAGCTCGCCTATCCTGAAGATGTCGATACCCCACTTATCGATGTCCGAGAGCAACTGTAAATAATTAGAAAAAAAATATTTTCAATCGTGTTACAATGGCGCCATGTATAATGTATAATTAATTAAATATTTTACTTCAAAGTGATATCGAGAGAGAGAGAGAGAGAGAGAGAGAGAGAGAGAGAGATATTATTATTATTATTATTATTGTTCAATCACTATATCGCGGCGTAGATATTAATTATGAGCAGAAATGCGTCTTGTAGCGATTCGTTAAGCGAAAGAATACGATGTGTGTCTTGAGGAATATAGATAGTGAAGGTCCTCTTATCGTCGAGGGGTCATGTGCGGTACTCATACTTATTCACGGATAACGATGTAGCCTCATATATTATTTGCGAATAAAACTTTGATTTAAGAAGTTTAAGAACTGCATACAACTCGTTTGTAAATATCGTTAAATCGTGATTGAATAACAACATTGGCTTTGACCATTTGGTTTTGTTAATAGCAGCCTCGTCCCCGGAAACAAATACAACATATGTGAGAAACGTTAATATCGGACACCAAATAAAGCAGCTCCGACGCATTTCTGAGACAGTTGAATCATAATTGCGTGGGTATAAAAATGGGTCTCGAAGTCTCGGAGAGCCTGCAGAATCACGTAACCATCTAAGATAACGTTCGCGTCGCATTTAATTTGGCGAGTGTATCGCCAACGGTCTCTCTCTCTATGAGAAATCCGATTAATATGCAGAACATCCGCGGCGCTTAATACACCCGGTTCCTGTCCTTTCTTCTTTTTCATTAAGAAAATTTACCTCGATTTGCATAATGGAAGGATGGCCTTTCACCGCTTACTTTCCCAGAAGTAAAGTTTTCTAAGAGGATGTACGGGAAGGGGCGGGAGAGGGGGGGGGGGAGGCAACGTTGAAATTATTTCTCCCTAAAGTGTCGCTTCGCCGATTGGAATTACGAACTGTATCTTTCAACGGAAGAAAGACAACAAAATGAAGCTTTCGACTTCGTATGTCGCAATCGAAGAGCACAATGCCTTGAGGCATTCCTCAAAATCTCATTTTAGGTCACGGTGGGTGACGACGCCGAGATCACGATTCGTCGAGGCGCCGAAAAATTAGTTTCTCTTTCTCGTCCTCGTGAGGAAAAAAAGATGCGCGTCGCTAATCGGGCGACGAGCTTATTCAGGTTATCGAAGTCGCGCGGCCTCGGCCCAAATGTTTCTGCCGCCTGTATACCGGTTAAAATACAACCGCGGCCTTGCGAGATCGGCCGTGTGAATCGTCCGCCACAGGGCAAACGTTTCTGCTTTCTAAAAATTCTATCTGTCACCTGTACGCGCCAGCCGTCACGTACTCACCGCGCCGAGCGCGAGATAAGCTTGCAATTAAATAAAGAGGAAACGGGGAGGAGACACCAACGCGCGATATGATATGCCATGCATCGGGAAAGTATCCTCTGACGTGCGTTTCAGCGAAATACTTACACACAAAAGTTAATAAGTTCTCACGGTGATACGTACGTAACGAATCGAACCGTTAAATCAGATTCTCTCTAAAACCTCGCATTAAAGTGAGTCTCGCGTAAAATGAGAAATACGTCAAATGCGTCATCGTGCGTCACTCGTTGGAGTCACGTTCGAGTTTCAACTTGCCGAAACCAATTAAGCTTTATCGCCCCGACCTGGGTGACACCTTGACATTAAAAACAATCATTATTCTTTAATATTATCCTGGCGGTAGGATTCAGTCGCAACGGTTTAGAGAGAGAGAGAGAGAGAGAGAGAGAGAGAGAGAGAGAGAATAGAGAGAGAAAGAGAAACAATAAGAGAAGCGGAAACGTATTTGCACCGTGCCGAAGTCGCGCTTTCACATGTCCGTCGAACCGCGCGGAGTAACGTACACGCGATGAAGAGGAAAAAGACGACGGGGTCCTCCCCTCGGAGAGGACGATACCTCTGTAAGCGAGAGAATTATCGGACTAGCGTAGTTGTCGTTTGGATATCGGTTAAACGCGGACATTATATTCTTCGATGTGCTTCGCTCCGACGCGCTTTCTT